ATCGACAGCGGTAACGGCGTGAACTCCGATGGCATCGAGACATCGGCGTGAGATGACAGTATGCGTTGCTCCAGTATCAAATAAAGCGAACACAGGAATATCATTGAGAACAACCATCCCGGACATGGTACCTGGTTGCTGTGCTGCCTCCGCCTGATCGACCGCGTAAACCCTGGCCTGCTGCCTGCCCCTCTGCTGCTGCTGCTGCTGAGGCGGCCTCTGTACCTGCTGTCGTGGCTGCTGCTGCGGTAGTGGCTGCTGAGGCTGCTGCTGGAGTTTCTTCGGGCAACGACTCGCAAAATGTCCCGGCTCCTGGCAATAGTAACAGATGTCCTGTCCAGCACGACACTCTCCCCTGTGCAGTCGACCACAAGTCGGGCACGGTGGAATCGGCTGCTGTCTCTGTCGGGTCCTCCGATCAGTCTGTGCACCCTTTCCCTTCCTCTTCTTCTCCTTGGCTGGCTGAGGGGCTGGTAGAGCTGGTGGAACTGCAAATGGCTGAGCTGGGGCGGATGGCTGGGCACGATCACGAACTGCCTCCTCCTGATACTAGCGTCCACCTCCTGGGCAATAAAGACTGCACGTGCGTACGTCTGTGTCCCGTGGCCTACGATGTTATGACGGACTGCTGGGTAAAGTCCGTCAATGAACCGCTGCGCTCTCTGGGCTTCCGTGCGAACAAGATCCCGTGCAAAACCTGCAAGCCTGGTGAACTCTCGCTCGTACTCATCGACAGTACGAGTACCCTGCTGAAGCGCTAAGAACTGGCGCTCCATCTCTGCCCGATAGTAGGAAGGGTAGTACTTGTCACGGACTAGATTCTTGAACATGTCCCATGTACAACCCACCTTTTCACCGGGACGCATGCTCCAGTAGGCATTCCACCAGAGCCTTGCATCACCAGTGAGCTGAAGCTGAGCACAAACTACTCGATATCTATCGGGGCATTCCATGACCTCAAAGATAAACTCCAACCCCTGAATCCATTCATCAACGATGCGGGGGTCTCCCTGTCCTTAGAACTTCTCTGCGTGATAGTCGCGGAACTGAGCGACTACCGTAGCCTGAGTAGGAACCTGATGATCGGGCTCCCTACGTGGCGGCATCTGAACATTGAGAAAATTGAACATTATTGAATACATGATAACATTACTGACTGATTACTAAGGCACACAGATCTCTTGACGAGTTGCAAAAAATGGCCGATAAATACTGACATGAAACCTGAAGAACTCTAAAGTCATATAGGAAGATCCTAACGTCTAAAGTCGTATCTGAATGCCTGAATTCTAGAGTCATGTCCGAACTCTAAAGTCTGAACCTTATTCGAGCATCTTAACTAAAGTCCTGATCCTTGATTCTGAGCATAGACAAAGTAATATGTTTATAACTGAAAAACTGAATTAGCACTTACCTGTCGTCGGCGGGGCGTGAGCATGACGGTTCAGGTTTTTCTGAAAAATGACTGACTGAAAACTTATCAGAGACGCAGAAACGTGCTCTGATACCAATTGTAACACCCCTCCTTACTATAAAATCAGAGTGCGCTAAAATTCGCAAAGTTATTTAAAAATAAACCTTTTTACTTTGCGAAAACTGATTCGGGGTGCTACCTTTAAAAATCGTGACTTAACTTAGAAAACCGTTGTTTTAATTTAATAAAAACGTCCGGTTACTAAAATCATGAGTTTCTTAAAAGTTCGTCAAAACCAACAAACATCGTCAAAAGTCATCAAAATATAAGCGGAAGCGTAAGTCATAATCATATTTATACAGTCCAAAATCTAAATATCCTGAGTCCCCGTCACGCCACGTCACGCTCCCGGCCCGACATCCTGACCTGAAAAACATAATAAAACTGGGGAGTGAGCACTAAGGCACTATGCTCCGTGGAAACTCATACTAATGTAAAACATTGTAAATAATAACAATATCATGAACTAAGCATATATAACTAAACTGAACTGATATCTGATACCGGTCTGAACTCGCGACATAAGTCACGTAACTGATAACTGATCTCGTGACATAAGCCACGTAGTGACATAAGTCACATCTGAACTGAACA